GTGCACGGATAGTAGTAAAGTGCAGTTGGGGAACAATTCTGAATGCGATGTTATTGGTGTTGGTAATGTCAGAATCAGAATGCATGATGATATTGTGTGGACATTGACTGGAGTGAGGCATGTTCCAGAGTTGAAAAAAAATCTGATTTCCTTGAGTGTTCTGGATTCAGCTGGGTGTCGGTATTCTTCAAAATGTGAAATTCTGAAAGTTGTTCGAGGTGCCATGGTGATAATGAAAGGAATCAAGCATAGTGGCCTGTATGAGCTTCAAGGTGAGACAGTGACGGAATTCGCTGCGTGGAGTCGAATATATCGGTTCGAGAGTCTGAATTGTGGCATATGCATTTGGGGCACATTAGCGAAAGAAGCCTGAAGGTTCTAAGTGAAAGGAATTTACTATGTGGTTATGTGGCTAACGAATTGAATGTATGCATGTGTTGTGATTTAGATCAACAATAGAAAGTGCAGTTCAGCACGGTTGCCAGAGAAACCACAGAAATTGCAGAATTGATTCACTTGAATGTTCGCAGGTTGTTGCGGTTTCCTTCAAGGAAGAGTGCCAAATTTATGCTAACAGCTATTGATGATTACTTGATGAAGACGTGGGTGTTTGTGCTAAGGCACAAGTTTGATGCTATTGTCAGGATTAGGCAGTTAAAAGCTTTGATCGAAAAGGAGACTGGTAAAACGATTAAGCAGGTGCGGACTGACAGTAGTATGGAGGTTTACTCGAAGCTGTTAAACGAATTTTGCATGGAGGAAGGCATAGTGAAACACCGCACTAGTGCCATTGAACCACAAAAGGTTGCAAAGTTGATGAGCAAAACATTACTAGAAACGGCCCATAAAATGCTCTCTAGTGCCGGTATGGCTAGGAGATTCCTGGCGGATGCGCTTAGTACGGCGAGCTACCTGAAGAATAGATCCCCATCGACTGCAATTGGATGTCGGACTCCCGAAGAAGTGTGGTCAGGTAACGTTGCTGATTATTCTGTTTTTACAATGTTTGGTAGTCCATGTTATGTTCGAGTTAGTGATGGTAAGCTCGATGGAAGGACAAGAAAGTGCATGTTTCTAGGTTATGCACAAGGTGAGCGGGGCTCTAAGGTGTGGTGCCCAGAATTAAATTCACCTCTTATCAGCAGAGAAGTTACATTTGACGAGTCTCCTGTACTTCTGGCTAGGAGTGTTAATAACAGTGTTTATACGGATCTGGACGGTGTTCAGCTTGAGGTGGAGTTGCAACCAGAAACTCCTGAGATAGCAGGTGCTAGCGAAATCGACACGGATGGTGCTTGTAGCGAGGTGGAGCCTATTGAGCTAATAGTTGCTGTAACTGCTACTATTGACAAGGTGCATATTCGATCTCCTGATAGATATAGATGCAATAATGGTTTTGCTTTATCTGCAATTAAGGAGGTTGTGTCGAAAAATCCTTGTGAAGCGGTTAAAGGTGCATGTGGAGTTGGTATTCTGATGAGACCCACGGTTATGGCGAAGTTCAAGCAAGGCTTGGACTTGAAAGACGTCTGTGGCGGTTGAGCCCATTGGGGCTACGGAAGAGTAGGAGCGAAATTCGGATTCTATCAAAGCGATTATGACTTGGCTCAAACGTCGACCCAAGGTGGAGATTGTTGAAAATATGTCTCGAGTTTGAGCACGTAGACGAAACCCGACCCGAGATTAATTATTATTTGTGGAGGTTTGAATATTCCGAATTGAATATTTCTCGTTTTGCTTTGATGCAAAGAAAATAGAAAAGGAAAGTCCGAAATTTGGACTTCCTGTGCGAGTTCGGAATAGTGCAATGCAAAATAGCGAAACTTTCTTTTATGAGTCGTGATCGATTTTATTTCAGTGTGGGGTCTGTGGACGTTGGGCTTCTGATCATGAAAGAAAGGAAATTATTGAAGTGGCAAATTTCATGAGTCGGCCAAAGAAAAGTCAAAAGAGGAAAGTTGACTTGTTGACCGAATCCCATTAGGATTGCATGGTTTCCTTCTTGTCCAAGCTGGAGTCGGCCACTGCATATTCTTTTCTTGGGGTATATAATATTAATTGTGGAGCTGTGGGGTGGCTCTTGAGAGACACATAAGACTTCTTGAAGCGCCGCTGCCGCGTGAGTGCTTGGGATGCGAGGCTATTGTTGATACGAAGTCTTGAAGCACCGTTTTTGAGTGCTTGAAAGTGGGCTTGTTCTTGTTCGTGCAATTACATCAAGAATTCAAGTGTTCGTAGCGATTAAATCTTGTGTTAAGATTTGTATACAATTCTTTCACGAGATTGAGAGATTATTTGTAATTGAGACTTGGGAAACACTTAGAGTGTTTGAGTGACTCGAGTGTGGTTGTAATCTCCGGTGTATTGCTTGATCTATAGTGGAATTCCGTGCTGTTCTCCCCATGGACATAGGTCACTGCGACCGAACCACGTAAATCTAATGTCCGATTTATTTTCTTATTCTGTCAATTTTATTATTCGATTGCTTGGCTTCCGCAACAGTCTTTGTGGAATTAAAGCCTCGCATTTTTCTTTTATGTTCTCTCTCTACATAAAAATAGGATGGGAAATTTTCTCTCTCCTAATATAGTAGATAGATAAATATATTTATTTTTTATGGGGGCAAATGTTTTTATCACGGTTAAGATTAAGAAACAATATTATGTAGCCATAAATGTGAAAAGAAGAAATCCCGCGTCGGCTGAATTAGTAGATAAATATGTGTATTTTACAGACTATTTCAATTTACTTTAAGAAAAGGCAAACCCTATTTTTTCAAAATGTTGAAAATGAAAATTTTATTAGATATATGTGAATTTTACTTGTTTAATTAATTGTATGTAGGGAGGTTTTTATTGTTTGTTTCTAAAATAAAGTAAAGTAACGTTAGCTGCAAGATTTGAGAACAGCGAAACAATAATCAAGAAAATTCTTACGAGATAGAGACTTTATTTTGATTTATTACTATATACATAGACCGTGAATTCACGTCGTGTCATCGTATTCGTGTGCTTATTTATGTCGTTACGGAAATAGTTCAACGCGATTTATAAAGTTCTCTTTTTATCAAAAATGGGTGAAAACAGCGTGAATTTGTTCTAGTTTCGAGTCAAGTTGAGTTGAGTTTGAATTTCTCTCGACTTATTTGTGTCCATGCTCGAATCTTGTTTAAATGTTTAATCATGAATCGCTACTCTAATATATAAGTGCATACAAATTAATTTTATTATTAATATAATAATATATCATTAATCCCTTTCGCTTATGATGAACATACATTCTGAATATCAATTGAAGCTCGTTTCCTCACCTACTGGTATGGTATCTTGACTTAGGTAAGGGCAAGTTGTGCTTTTGCCCACGTCGGCGAAATGTATCAAAGCGAGGTCAAATGTATCGAGCAGCAATCGCGTGTTTCCCAGATCACGTGATATGAGATGCGAGAGGGCAAAGTCCCACCGTTCGTTTCTCTTGATCGAGCAATCACTATTCGTTCGATGGATTCGTCCTTTTTGCCATTGGGACAAGGGATGTCGGGTCGGGGCTGAGGTCGGTCGGAAATCTCTACCGTAGACTTCCGTGATCGTGCAGTTGATGAGCCGTCGCATTCGGTCAAAGGGTCAATCACTTATGGAACATTTTACAAAACATGGTATCATGCTAGTGGCGACTCCTGAGTAAATTGACTTGTAGGTTAAGTTAATTAAATTAAAACCAAAAGTTGCTGTTGGTATAGTCTTGGAAGAGTCCGTGCTAAATCTTCAGGTTTAATAATCCATTGTCTTTGATTGGTCACCTTTGGAAAAGCCACAAAGTGGTGTAAATCCAAACTCTAGGAAAGTGTGCCTTCGGTTGTATTATTACTTCAATATGTAATTAATAACTACTAACACTTTGTTTTTTCCCTCGTTCTATGAGAATCTTTATAATCAGGATTAAATGGAACAAATAGAGCATTCACCAATGCTGGGTATATATAGAACATTTTACAAAACATGGCATCATATTAAAATACAGGTAGACATCTAGACAAGTTGACCATAATTAGTAACTTATGAAAGTCTACCACATTACTCAACATTGAGTAACTCAACATGAGGCTTTTGCCTTGAAATCAACCATCCATCAATGCAACCAAATTGTTTAACAATATTATTGGCTTTTCGTGAGATTTGTGGTGTCTAAAAAGGTAACTTTTGGAGTTTGCTATATATGTGAAGCTTCATAAAAAAAAAACTTAAGAAAAACGAGTATCTCCACAAATTTGACGAATAGGTTAACATATGCTGTAATTTTAATTAGTCCTGTTTGTGGAATAATTTTGTATTGCACGACCACTCTAAGTTCTGTGCAAATGGTAAACAGAGCCAAACATAGTACATGAGCGACACGCTTTAATTAATCTACTTCTTTTAAAGGTTTGGTTGCATAAAGTAGTGAGTTTCTAGAATGAGTTAAGTAAATCAACTGATCGAGAAATGGGATAAGAAGTAAATAGTGAATTAGTTCACTTTGTCCCTTTCGTGCTTGGGGCCTCAAGACAAGGTTCACACAATCAATATATAATCTTTCGATGTGAAAGACATTAAGACTTCCAATACAAGAGTAGGTAAAGGCAAATAAGGGCAAAATATAATATTTTCAACGAATAAATTTGATGCTTTCCCTTTGATGAAGTGTTTGGGCCGCCAATAACGACCACTTCTTCTTATAGTCGATGACAGCAAATCATCTCGTTCTTTCAATGGGAAAGAAAGTTTGATTTTTTGTAGAGATTTTCACTTATAGCATGTTTATTTGTTGGGTTGTTGAAAGACTTCCAATCCAGGAGTAGGTAAAGGCAAATAAGGGCAAAATATAATGATATCAACCAAGAAATGTGATGATGCATTGCCTGTTTCGGCCGCCGATAAGGATCACTTCTTTTTATTTTGACTAGAACACGTCATTAAGTTCTTTCAATGTGAAAGCCAGTTCGATTTCTTAGAGGGTTTTTTGTCTTTTTATATTTGTTCAAAGACTTCCATTTACTGTCAATAAAACCCATTGTGGTTAGGGTTGATGAGAAAAGCCTGCGACCTAATTGAGAGAGAGAGAAAGGAGCAAATTAGGAAGCCACGAAGAGCTAAGAGCAAGCTAAGAGACATGCCTGGTATTTCACTTTATTTCTTGTCTTTGCACTCTATTTTCATTTTCCTTAACCTAAGGCTGTGTACATTTGGCGGAAAATATTTTTCTGAAAAATATTTTTTGCATTTTCCGGTGTTTGGGGACGGAAAATTTTCCTTCCCACTCCCAAACTCATTTAGTTTTTTTGAGGAAAATGACTTCCGCTTCCGGAAGAAGGTCTTCTTCTTCCTATTTTCAATGTTTTTTTTTCCTTTTTTTTGTTCTGCTTCTTCTTCCTTAGCCAGTGGCCGGCGACCGGCGAGCTCGAGCCTCGCCAGACGTCGGAGAGGCTCCAGCGACCTCGGGCGAGGCTCGAGCCTTGCCCGAGGTCGCCTGAGCCTCGCCGACGTCTGGTGAGGCTTAAGCTCACCGGAATCTGGCGAGCTCGAGCCTCACCGGCCTATGGCGACCTCGGTCGAGGTTCGAGCCTCGCCTAGGTCGCCGGATCTGGCGAGGCTAGAGCTTGCCGACCTCGGGCGAGCTCGGCCTCGCCACAGGCCGGTGAGGCTTGAGTTTGCTAGAATCTGGCGAGCTCGAGCCTTGCCGACGTTTGGCGAGGTCGGACCTCGTTGGCCTCGGGCGAGCTCGGCCTATGGCGACGCTCGAGCTCGCCTCTGGCAGGTCACCGGAGAAGAAGAAGGAAAAAGAACACAGCCTAAGGCGATAGTGGTCGCCGAACGTCGGAAAATATTTTTCGAAACTTTTTCATATTTCAGCCGAACACCGGAAAATTGTGTTTTGGGAAAACATTTTTCCAAAAAAATGACTTCCGAAAAAATATTTTTCAAAAACGCAATATTTTCCGCTAAACGAACACAGCCTAAGTCTGCGATGTTATTCTCAATAATTCATGTCTTTATTTTAAACTTTTTCAAATTTCATTTGGCTGTAAAAGTAGAACAAAAAATGTTTTAGATAAGACCTCTCTACATCCACAACCGTTCGTGAGCATTTAAGCAAGAGCTTACATTACCATGAACTTGGTCACGTTCAGTTCGACGTAGCATTGAATTCCTCAAGAAATAGGATTCTATTTCCCACATTTATCAGATTACCTAGCTATATTGCTAGATTGAACTTTCGTTCCACTTTTTTAAAAGCACAAAGTCATCAAAAACTCAATCCACCTCCGGCATCTGCTGCCACAACTCCTACCACTGCCACCGATTACTAGCGAAGGTTGGTGGCAGCCGGACTCCGTCACTGACAACTGGACTTTATCTTCGGTAGTCGGACTCTACCACCGATCCTTGATCATCAGTTACTAACTGCGATCACCAAACTTCGCCGTTGGCTGCTGGTTGTCGTTTGCCATCGCCGTCAATAAGTATTCTTTTGTGGTGACCAAAATTTTTTGCAATCCAAACAATTGAAAAGGAAAGAATGAGCACCCCTGGAGTGAGTATCCGATTGATGATTCCTTGTCATGGTTCCAGAAGAGGCCTTTTTAGTGAAATTGGGATGTAGGGCATAGAATACGTGGCACTTACGTGTTTAAGACTTACATAGATACGGATCGCCTACTCAATTGTGCTTGTGAAATATTAAACTATCTAACCAAATTGAAAATCTCGATTGTATCTTAGGATGGATTTGTCCAATAATTTTTTTTTGGCAGGACCTGCCACGTACAAAAGGCGTCTTCCACCAGCTCATTATTCATTGAAGATACAATCGTTTTCGTTGTTATCAAAATCCAATGTGGACAAGTATGAATCCGGTGTTTTCAAAGCTGGGGACTACAATTGGTGACTTCTCGGATTTCCTTTTCTTTTTTCCTTCAAATCATATTTTTATCTAATTGCTAATCAAACGTTTCATTCGTTGTTCTTTTCAGGAGCCTATCTCTTTACCCTAATGGAGACAAGGACAATAACGGGTCGGGATTTATTTCCTTCTATTTGTCAATAGAGGAGACAGATAAGCTTACTGGTGGTTGGGAGGTTGACGTCAACTACAGGCTTTTTGTGTATGACAAGATACGAGAAATGTACTTGACCATCCAAGGTTTGAACATCACATAACATGAACAAAATTACCCTTCCAATCACATAATCATAGTTTAGAATTGACAAGAAAGTTGTATCAATTTGTGGAATTGTGTGTAGATGCTAATGGGGCAGTGAGGAGCTTCCATGGCTTGAAGACCCGATGGGGGTTTCCTCAGTTTCTTTCTTTGGATACATTCAAAGAGCCTTCGAATGGGTACCTTGTGGGCGACTGTTGTATATTTGGGGCCGAGGTTTTCGTCATCAAATCTACGGGCAATTGGGAGTCTCTTGCCATGATCAAAGACCTGCCGAACAAGACATTCCCTTTGAAGATCCCAAACTTCTCCAAAGTGGACAAGAGCTGTCACTATTCTGACCCCTGCACCGTTGGAGAGAGTAAATGGTACGTTCAGAAAATGAAGAGTTCGCAAATTACACTATCTATACTGGTATATTTTCCTTTTTTCTCCTTAACCGTAATTATCGGATGTAGGAGGCTCCAAGTGTTTCCCAAAGGCTATGCGGCCAACCAAGGGAAGTCATTGACCGTTTACTTAGAGTTACTTGGTGCTCGAGACCTTCCTCCCAAGAGAAAAGTATACTGTGAGTATAATCTGCGCGTTTTGGACCAGCTGAACGGTAACCATAAGGAGCATAAAGGTAAGTGCCTTCATGCTTCTGATCCACTTTAGACAACCATTTCTTGATAAGTTTTACTTCGGATTGCTTGAATTCATGTGACAGGATGAAAAGGTGAATGCTTCCCAGAAAAAAAAAAAAGCCAAAAGTCCTAACTAAGCGGAAATTAGATACGCGTCATATGACATTTGGATAAGAATTAACTGCATGCAAAATATAGATTTGATTTTTCATTAAAGATTTTCCATTAAAATTTCGTTTGCAGGTAGCGGTTGGTTCACTGCATCAGCACCAATCTGGGGTTACGGAGACTTTATGTCCTTAGAGAATCTGTGTAAGCCATCGAAAGGGTTTATTTACAATGATGTTCTGATTGTTCAAGTCCAATTCCTTGCGGTGTCGGTCGCCAAGGTCGCTGCAGTTTGACGGCTCTAATTTCATATTATTTCCTTCGATGTTGTCATAAGTTAATTGAGAACAGTTTCTGTCAACCAGTTTGTCAATGGAGTTTTTCCCCCTTGTTTAGTTTCTCCCTCCATTTGATGGAGTGAAATCCCGCGAATTGATGCATTCATTGTTGAGTTTATTGTGCTGAGCCAATATAGGATTCCCCGAGTTCAATTCTCCAATTATGCATATTTATTAATAGAAGTATACCCGGTAGATGGACAGGTTTGTGTGATTCATGTCGGATATTCGGCTTACAGTTCCTTTCGGAGTTCCGCCTATTACTTAAACATCAAGCTATATTTATAAACAATCGGGTCTGCGCACGAATGCAAGTTTAAGTATCCAATTTGTGCTTCAGCCATCGTTGGCTTGAACGGGCCAAGTGGAAGGCCTTTCAACAAAGGTTACGCTATTTTATTATCTAACACGGAAATTAATGTGTGAAGGATAAATTTTCTATTACAAGATTCAAGGGCTAGATTGGTTCCCTCTCCCTCATCAGATGAGCGAGTTTGGATCATAATAGTAATGAAAAAATAACTCGATGCAATCAGGTAAGTTTCTATGATTACTTTTCGGTCACATCAAATTTTAATTTTTCACTTGGCGACATCATTTTTGCCCAAAACCAAATAAAGTTCAAAGATAAACCCATTGACATGACCCCACTTTAAGGTCATGAAGTGAGGAAGCCCAATTCTTAAACCCAAGCCCACTCCAATTCGAAAGAAGAGCAAGATGCACCCCCACGTTCCGGGGAGACAACCCCATGACGCCTCGTACCCGAAATTGGGAGCTCTAGGTTATCAAGGTTATATTTCCTTGTAGGATAATGACAGAAATAATTCTTGAATTTTGGCTTAATGTGTAATATGATCCCTGAATTTTTCATTTATTTAATGTGGTTTATAAACTTTTAATTTGTTCAATGTGGTTCCTGGACTGTTGTTATATGTTTACCTAGTTCTTAAATAATATGAAAATGTTCAATATTGTCTTTCCATAAATTTAAGTTCAGGGACAATATTGAACATTTTTATAAAGTTTAGGGGCTAAATTGAACATGTATCAAAAGTCTAAGGATTATCTTGAATAAATTAAAAGTTTAAGGACTACATTGCACATTGGGCTACAATCCGAAGACCACATTGAATAAATTAAAAGTTCAGAGACCACATTACATATCGGGCTAAAGTTCAAGGACCATTTATGTCATTTTTCCTTCCATGTATTTGTCAATCAAGGGGACAAATAAGCTTCCTCATGGTTGGAAAGTTAGGTCAACCACAATCTTTTTGTGTATGACGAGATAGGAGACATGTTCTTGACCATCCAAGGTTGACCATCACATAATATTAACAAAATCACACTTCCAATTACATAATCATAGCTTAGAATTGACAAGAAAGTTGCATCAATTGGTGGAATTATGTGTAGATGGTGGTGGGGCAGCGAGGAGCTTCCATGACTTGAAGACCCAATGGGAGTTTCCTCAGTTTCTTTCCTTGGAAACATTCATAGAGGCTTCAAATGGATACCTTGTGGGCGACTCTTGTATATTCAGGGCTGAGGTTTTGGTCATCAAATCTACTGGGAAATGGGAGTCTCTCACAATGATCAAAGACCCGCCTCACCACACTTTCACTTGGAAGATCCGCAACTTCTCCAAATTAGACCAGAACCATCACTTCTCCTACGCCTTTGCCGTCCGCGAGAGCAATAGGTACGTTCCCAGAACAAAAAAGTTTGCAAAAACGAAATTAGCTACTCGCCCTTTTCCTTTTAAATTTATATTTGTTGGGTATGTTGGTGAAAAGAATTAGCTAAGATTTGTCTTAGTTTGACTGTAATTATCGTGTGTACGAAGCTAAAGGTTTATCCCCAAGGCGTTGCGGCTGAGAAAGGGAAGTCGTTTTCTGTCTACTTACGGTTTCTTGGTGTGCAAGACCTTCCTCCGAGGAGGAAAGTGTACGCAGAATTCTATTTCCGTGTGTTGGACCAACTCAATTGTAACCGTAAGGAGAAAAAAAAATTTAACCAAAAAAAAAAAACCATAAGGAGAAAAAAAGATATGTTTTTCTTTTCGATTTTTGTAACATGCATGTCTAAATTGACTTTTACTCTTTTTTTTAACTTTTACTTAATTTAAATCTTACCACCCACATGTTTTGATTTTTTTTTTGTTAGTCCAGGACAACCGAAACTTTAACGCATGCAAGTGTTGGCTGGAGATTCGCATATAACTTTTGCATAATTTTTTGAAATTCCGATAATATTTTATAATTTTAAATAATATTCTAATTCTTTTCTTAGTCCAAACCAAACAGGCTAACGCAAATACATGTAAGTATTACTATTTAAGATCACATCAAATTTTTCCAAATCTTTTAATGAACTGTATATCATTTATACTTTGAGAATTCCAAGTGCGGTCTTTTGGGAAAGGGATTAAACTTCTCTACTTTGAGTAGCAACAATCCAAAAATGTATGTGAATCTCTTATAGAAAGAACATGAGGCTATCTCTCTTCATGAGTCCCTATTGAGTATGAGTATAGTGATTAAATAAGGCTTCATCTACATTGAAAATAAACTAATAAGGATCTCTTGGGGAAATTGCAGTTAGTCATTGGCTTTGTGCCTCACATCCCGAATGGGGTTACAAAGGCTTTATGCCCTTGGAGGATCTGCAGAAACCGGCAAAAGGGTTCCTTTACTTGGATGTCCTAATCGTTGAAGTACAAATCCTCTTCGTATCAACTGTCAAAGTTGTAGGAGTTTGATGACTTACTTCAATGTTTATTGTGTCAAAATTGATTCCTTCAGAATAATGTGTACCGACCAAATTGGAGTTGACATTGGTACCCCCAAAACCATGTGAGTTTTTTTTTGTTTCCTAATTTGGTTACTTATCTGATCACTAGATCGAGTGTTAACGTATAAAAACTACATGTTGGCTATAGTTTGGTTGATCTGAGCATTGGAAAGCCTATCTTTGGGAGTCTGTGATATATTTTTCTGGATACCTGCAGGAGAAAGATGGGCGAGGAGGAGTCCGGGGAGTGCTCCAGGATAAACACTCCGACGCCCAGAGTCAGCATGGTTTGGGAGAAGAAGAGAGAATTTGAATGTGAGTGCCGGTGACTCTGTGTTTATGGCTTACCAGGCCTTTACTTATAGGCAAGAGAGATTGGTCCTCGTAGTAGCTCATGCTAATGCCCAGTCCGTGAGGTTAATTCGAGTCGAGTCAGACAACTCGATGGGGCAATCTTGACGGCAACCATGGATGCTACTCTATATAAGGCGGTGACTTGCGGGTGGTTCCTTCGGCTCTTAACCTTGCCGCGATCATTAGGCCTTCTGTAGTGGGCATTTCCTTACAGTATCGACTCCTCTCCCCCCTTAAGAAATTGACCCAATATGTTTCTTTCTCTCAACAGTCCATTATTCCAAGGGTCTTTTAGTCATTCCTTGCCTTTCAGAAGACCATGTCAAGGTCTTTTCTTAACATTACGGGATTGTATTTGACAGCTTCTACGGCTGCTATAATTGCCTGGATAGAACAGGTGCGCCAACCTGCATGGGCTTTGCAAGCGCTTGATTATATGGGCCAAGTGCTCTCACATGGACTTAGGCATTTTCTTGATGATAACGTACCGAAATAACGAAAGAAACTTATTTGTAACTGGGTGTTACTGTAATGCAGCATAGCATTTTTTGCTTCTCATTTCCCGAGTCATTCTCAACTATCTTGAGTTGTGCCATCCTATGGGGTACTTCACCATCATAGGTGTCTCCCTTTTTAGGTCAATTTCTATATATGGCCTCCTGGGCGTCACTGGGTTGGTGTTGGTCGCTTGGTTGAGCACCATTCACCTCCTGAATCAGAAGCTGTCCTTTGCGGTTTTCATGGATCCGTGATCACTTTCTTTGTCCTGCCTTTGAAAGGTGGATTGTGAGGGCTTGCTTTAAGTGGCGGCTCACAATGTCTGCCTAGCAACGCGACTTGTAAGGTATGTCTCAGCAGACGGCTTGCCGGAGTGTGCCCTCGAAGGCGGTTTACAACGGTGCGCTTCAAAGGACTACTACTTGTAATTATATACCTCAAAAGGCGGCTTGTGAGTGTGTGGCTTTGGAGCTAAGCGGAAACCCTAGCACTCGCGTACTTGCTGAAGTTTCTCTCTCCTCAAAGACTCCAAAGTCTTGAACTTAACTCTAACTGTTCGAGTTTAATTCTATCTTTGAAGTCCGCCAATCACACTAGGTAAGAAGTGTGACGGCGTAGGCGGCGGTGCGCGGGGAGGAGGGATGGCAGTGCGTACGCGCCTCGGTTCTCGGGCGTGTGTAGGAAGGGAGGGGGAACCTCTCTTATCCCACATAAGGGGAGTCCTGAACTAGCTTATAAGGCTTGGGGTTCTATATCTGTGTAATGCATTTTAAATTCGTGAGGGTCAGTAGGCCCAAAGCGGACAATATTACACAATGTAGACCCGGGTATTACAGGTGGTATCAGAGCCGTCTCCCGACCGTGTGTGAGGCCACAACGAGGGTGATGTGCCCGTAAAGGGTGGAGAGTGTGACGACCTAGGCAACGGTACGCAAGGAGGAGAGATGGTGGTGTGTCCGCGCCTCCATTCTCGGACGTGCGCAGGAAGGGAGGGGCAGCCTTTCTTATCCCACATCGATTAGGGAGAGTCCTGATCTAGCTTATAAAACTTTGGGTTCTATATCTGTGTAACCCGTTTTAAAGCCGTGAGGGTCAGTAGGCCCAAAACGGACAATATTACACAGTGTAAATCCGAGGTGTGAGCGCGCTCTTATCTCTGAAGCTTCAGATTTTTAACTCTGCTTTCGTGATCCAAGAGTAATCCATTATGATAGAGAGCAAAACAGAGTAATGGATTGGTCGTGAAAGCCTAACAAATGAATTCTCTTCCAGGAATTTTGGCTAGTCCAACCATCCAGCTCCTTAGGGGCTTGCCGTGTTTATATGCCCCTTCTATGGGCCGCGACCTCGGAGGCCCTCTCCATCAATCCGTCAAGGGTCAAGGTCGGTCTGCGAGTCCGTGATTGTTTGAGTGCACACGCATTGTGGTGTGTGATCATTTGAATGTGGTGGTGATAGCGATCGCGATTGTTTCTGATTGGAGTGGATCGCCGAGAAGCTCTTGGCGAGGAGACCTTAGGAGTTGTTGCTAAAACACGATTATTATAGGCCAAGAGAGCAATGAACTTTAAAGTAAGCGCGTGGGGGTGTCGACTACGCGAAGGCGGAATTTGGTGATTTGATCGAATAGCAAACACTACTCCGAAGTGAATGACTGGTGGTAAGTATCTGCACTCTTCTGTACGAGTAATAGAGGTGGTGGTCTCCATCCGTGCGGGACCAACTGTCATGTGAGAGAGGAATGAAAATCCTCCTACAGAAACATTTCGATTTGAGAGGAACAGGATTCGCTTGCTAGTACTCTCAGAGAATCGATTTATCCTCTTTTCACTCGAGACAGCTTGTTTGCAAACAATCAAATGCTGGCTATCCGAATCGAAAGAAACCTTTGCTGAAACAGCATTTCGAGAGTAGACTTATCGAAGAAAATGGATGTACCAAGCGGAGAAAAAAAATAGGAACACTGAAATGTCTTGCTAATTATTGGGTGTAGTTTTGAATTTCGCATTTAGTTGAATGTATGATAAATTTATGTAATATGCTAAAGTTCACAGCCTTCGAAATTCGCATCCCTTTTTTCTCCCTTATTTCCAGGTGGTTTTTTGAAGTTGTTGTTGACTCTCTGATTAGGAAGCAATTGTAACGTTTATTGGCACAGCACGCTATTCGCGTGGATGAAACTTAAAGGCAAGAACAGATGCTTTTTGAAACATGCAAAATCAAAATGATAAATGTACAACTCACTCCCTATGGGAATAAATCTCGAATTATTCCCAAATGAAAGATATTATTCTTGCGTTTGTTACACTATATTCTTCATTCTAGTTTTATCATCTTTATGGGGAATAAATCTCGAATCGTTCCTAAACAAAGAAATTATTCTTGCGTTAATTACACAATATTCTTCAATGGACTCAAAAACCCCTCTCACAGTTTATCATTTTTCCTTATAATCGTTAGCAACCTTTCAAACCAAACACGAAAGAATAAGGTTGTGTCCACGCACTAAGGTAAAGAAGAGAGACGGGAAAAGGAGTGGTCTAGAGGATTCGGTCCATGGACCACAGCAAAAGTCCGTTATCCTTTCACTGCTGGGAGAGGGAGGTTTTCGTTGCTTTATGAAGTCAGCCTCACGCGGACCCCTCCCACGCGGCCCAAGCCTCTACTCGACCCACATGGATCAACTCTCGACATGGAACCGGTGGGCCAGATGAGAGCCACAACGGGCCCGACTTGCAAGAATTGAACCCATGTCCCACCACATCGATGCCCCCACATGAGTTACAAGCTCACACAACTGAACTCGGCGAGCGGCATCGATAAATATGCTTCTTATAAAGTGTGTATTGTCCCTATATACGCCTGATGTGGGACTTCTGTGCACAAAATTGCTTGTATTGTTTCCCTTCGTCACACTTCATATCTCTCTATGCACGATTGAGAACTTTATGGATTTCGAATTTTCTTCAATGTCCACTGTTCTTTGGATCGAGAAGCGGACATTATAAAGCAAGGGAGAAGAATCAAGATGGCAGAAATCGAAATCTCGAGTAAAATCATGATCGAAAAGCACAGCAAAAAGAGTTCTTCTTAAGGCACCGATTTGTTAATCCAGGGAGAAGAATCTAGATTTGTCAATCAAAATTATAAGCAAATTCTTGAAGATACTAAAATCAAGGGATTGACAGCTCTTATAATATAAGGATCTTTTCATTTATTATTTCCATTGTTGTATTGTTTCCTTATGAATTGTAACACTTTGTAATATTTTTATATAGTAGACATCATCTCAATAAATTATATGTAGAGTTCAACATTCGAACACCTTTGTTCTTTCATGGTATTAGAATAGAAGTCCCGAGTTCCATTCTTTCCATCTCTCTATATACCTCCCTAATTTTATTTCCACATTTTAGGCTTAGGCCAAAGTTTAGCCTACACATGAGAGTGAGTGTTAGAGTAATTAAATATTAAATCACATATTCGTCAAAAAACTTGAGCTTTTAGAGCCATTAGCAGTGTCCCACAAAATCTCACAAAATGATGTCGAAGAAAACTAATACGATAGTTTAGTTTAATAGCTTGAAAGTAGAGATAGAGCACGTAGCTTAATTATACTTCCTCTAGTAAATGAATAGAGAAAAGGAGGACGATAAATGGGAGAAAAGATTGATTCAAGTCCTCCAAAAATCATGTTAAAATGTAAGAATTTTGAAAAAAATAAGAGATAAGTCACCTTCCTGCTCCTCTTCCTCACATCTTTCGGCTCATTGAGGCGTAAGAACAACAATCCGATGCTCAATGTCGTGCTAAGGGCGGAGTACACTCTCTCGGGCTACTTAATAACATACAAACTCGAGCTAATGCGCAAAACCCCATTCTACAACCCATTGCTCCCACTATGAGGATGAGGAAGTCTATATTGGAGGCTACAACTTTTTTTTTCATTCACTTAAGTGCCACAAATTTGAAAAAATATCCTTAGAATGAAGGTAGCTAATGAGGATGAGAAAGTTCAGATTCTTTCCTTTCAAAGCACAATGGCTAAAGGGCGAGTTTGTTTATGAGAAGAAATAAATGCTTTCATGAAGAAATATGCTAATGAAAAATAGTGAAAGTGCGGAGACAGGATGAATTCTGCTTGATATGCTAGGAGAATAGGAATAAGACCAAATTAAGAGTAAGCTACAAGACTTGTTAAGTGTAACTTTACAAGGCTTTGGTGATGCAGATCTTGGTGGTGACTTTGACAATAGGAAGAGCATCCCGGGCTATGTTCTTACCTTAGGTGGCACTATAATCAATTGGGTGTCTAGACTTCAAAACAATGTGTCACTCTCAGCCGCTGAAGCAAAGTATGTTGACATATCTGAAGTTGGCAAGGAGATGATTTGGCTGAATTTTTTTTTAAAGGAGATAGGCGAGAAGCAGGATAGCAAGGTTCTTTTTAGTGACTATCAAAGTGCTATTTGTCTTGCAAAGAATCCAGTATTTCAGTCAATGGCAAAGCACATTAAGTTGAAGCAACATCATATTCGTCAACTGATAAATAATAGGACATTATCATTGAAGAAGAATTTGGTATAGAAAATCCAATAGATACTTTAACAAAGGTTGTCACCGCTGAGAAACTAAGGCCGTGCATTGCCTCAGTTGACTTCCATGGTTAGTGATGAGGGGGCCGCCGCACTAAGACAATTTGGGTTACAAAGATAAGTGAAGACTATGAAAGACTATTACTATTTTGAATATTAGCATCCACGCGGGAGATTGATGGAGTTGTGGAGTATGAGAAAAGTGATATTAAAGCTCAGAGCTTTTACTGCTAATGGTATACATGTAATTTCTTTATAACTATGTTCGCCCTAGACTCCTGCTATATATTAGGGTAATATTTTTCATAGTGGTAACCCTGAAGTTAGTAATTCTGACACTGATACTAATAATGAGGAGATTGCCTAGGTCGGCATCGTAGTTTTTACCTTTTTGATTTTGAAATGGTTTTCCACATAAAAAATTCGCATGTCTTCTTCTTTATTTTTTCTCTTCAATGATTCATATTCCTAACAAGTAAGGCAGAAGTCCACAAGAAAGCTAAGACTCAATTTGGAAGCAAGGAAGTCTTGACAATGAAGGCAGCTAATGAGGATGAGAAAGTCTAGATTCTTTCCTTTCAAAGCACAATGGCTAAAGGGTGAGTTTGTTTACGAGAAAGAAGGAATGCTTTGGTGAAGAAATCTGTTGACGAAGGAATGGTGAAAGTGCAGAGAAATGATGAAATTATGCTTGTTATGCTAGGAGAATAGGACCAAGACCAAGTTAAGAACAAGCTACGAGACATGTCATGTGTAACTTTACAAGGCTTTGTTGATGCAGATCTTGGTGGTGACTCGGACAATAGGAAGAGTACATCGGGTTATATTTTTACCTTAGGTGGCACTGCAGTCATTTGGATGTCTAGACTTCATATCTGTGTGTCTCTCTCAACCATTGAAGCAGAGTATGTCGCTATATTTGAAGCAAGCAAGGAGATGATTTGGTTGAAAAATTTTCTGAAGGAGATAGGCAAGAAGCATGATGTAGTGTTCTTTTGAGTGATAGTCAGAGTTCTATTTGTTTTGCAAAGAATCCCGTCTATCAGTTAAGGAAAAAGCACATTGAGTTGAAGTATCATCATACTTGTTAGTTGATAAATGATGGGATATTGTCATTAAGGAAGATTCTTGGTGCAGAAAATCCAACGAATACGTTAACAACGATTGTCACCACTGAGAAAGCAAGGCTGTGCATTGCCTTGGTTGGCTTCCATGGTCAGTGATGATGGGGCCACCACAGTAGGACAATTTGGGTTACAAAGACGAGTGAAAAATATGAAAGACTATTGATGTTTTGAATATTAGCATCCAAGTGGGAGATTGATGAAGTTGTGAAGTATGAGAAAAGTGATATTAAAGCTCAAAGCTTTTACTGCTAATGGCATACATGTAATTTCCATCATAACTATATATGCTTATACTAATATTAATAGTGAAGAGATTGCCTAGTATGACACTATAGTTTTTCTCATTCTGATTTTAAAAGAGTTTTCCACATAAAAAAATTGTGTGTCTTCTCCTCTCTTTTTTCTCTTCAACAATTCGCGTTCCTAACAAGTGGGGCAGAAATCCACAAGAAAGCTTAGACTCAATTTGGAAGCAAGTTCTGACAATGAATGCGATTAATGAGGACGAGAAAGTTTAGATTCTTTCCTTTCAAAGCACAATAGTTAGAGGATGAGTTTCTTTACAAGAAGAAAGGAATGCTTTGGTGAGGAAGTCTACTGAGGAAGGAACAGTGAAATTGGAGAGAAAGGATGAAATTTTGCTTGATATGCTAGGAGTAGGACTATGACCAAATTAAGAGAAAGCTACGGGACATGTAAGGTAATTCACTTTATTTCTTGTCTTTGCACTCTATTTTCATTTTGTATTAATCTAAGTCTATGTTGCCATTTTAGTAATTCATGTCTTTTGCTTTTAAAGATTTTAAATTTTATTTGGTTGTAATGTTGAATAGAATTATAAGACCTTTTTACATCCACGACCGTTCATGAGTGTTAAGTGTGAGCTCACCTTGCCATGCACTTAGTAGGGGGGAGCAGTTCCAAATTCCATACAGGTTCTTCTTGGAACCTACCCGTTGGATTATGTTCCTTATTTTTTGGAACCTGGAACCTACCTTGCATACCATGGAACCTGTAACCTATTCAATCACAGGTTTCAAGTTCAGTTCCAGGGTCTAGCCAAGTTCCACTTTTATTATTTATTGAATGATTGCAGTGAATCATCACTTTTAATGATCAACACTTACTGCTACAATCCACTGAGCATAATTTATATTTAGACACATGAAAAATATAAAATATTAACAAAGTAAAAGTCTCAGTCATAAAATGGAAGCTTAGACTAGTAGTTCCAAATTATACACTCATCATTAGATACCATGGAATACAACAGGATCGTTCGAAGACATAGATGAAGAAAAATACAAAAACTTGTTTCAAGTTCCGGATTCCAGGTTTCAAGTTCTAAATAAGTGGAACCTGAAACCTATCCGTCGAAATGGATTCCCCAATTTTTAGAACCTCGAACCTACCCTATATACCCTAGAACCTAGAACTAGACAGGTTCCCACCGGTCTGGCTCTCAGGTTCCAGATTCTACCCTAAAACCATACTCATCCCTACCAATTAGTCTCATCTGATTCAATGCAGTCTGATTCTTCAAGGAATAGGATTCCAATTCCCACAATTTTCACGTATGGAGAAAAATTTGAGTTCGGATATGGATTCTGCATGAAAAAAATTTACTCATAAAATGTAAAATCATATTATCTAGCTAAATTTAGGATTGGGATATCGTTCCACTTTTCATAAGCATAACACTATGAAAAACTCAATTCCACCACTGACTACCGTCATGGCGTCCCCATCGCCACCAATTGCCAACAAAGGTACGTTGGCAACTTAACTCTGTAATCGGTCATCGAAGTTGGTCGCAGGTTGCTAGACTTCGCCACGAGCCACTAGGCTTTTTTTTTTTGGGTCGAAAACGAGACTTTTATTTATATCATATAAGTTCTAACCAACGGGGCCCGCAAAGGGGGCATCCTTACATAGCAAAGCCCAAAGGGCTTGTGGGGGAAAAGAAATCCAGTCACGAGGAAGACACCGATTCTTATGAGATTTCGCAACCCAATCAGCCACCATATTAGAACTTCTTGGGCCGAATTCAAGCCTAACAGACGGAAGGCCCGCGAGAAGGGAAGTGCATTCCTTGATAAGCAAACGCGCGTCCCAGGGGAGCTGATTTGCGGAGGTAAGAGCACGTATCAAATCTGGTCGGTCTGACTGAAGACAAACTCTACCCAAACTCCTTCTCTGTACGAACCGAAGACCTTCAAGCAAAGCTAGGGTTTCGACTTGCGCTGGAGTGGAGGCCTTTACCGATCTAGTGTGATCGGCAACGAGGCTCCTAGTGAAATCCCGACATATGCACGCAACGGCACTGTCAGTCGTTCCCTTCCCAAGAGCGCCGTCAACATTAATTTTCAGTTCGCCTTTCTCCGGTGTGACCCAGGTAAGAGAAGCTGATGGTTCCTTGTTTTTTCCATCTTTCGAAGCCTGAACATCCCATTTTTTGAAGGTTTCTTGCAAGATCTGTGCTGATTCAACAGTAACCTCTGCATTCGGGTCTTGGCCTCTGAATATTGCGTTGTTGCGAGCAACCCAAATGCACCACAGTATCGAAGCCACCTCTTCAAGGGAAGGAACTATGTTCTGATTTTCTTTTATACTCGCTATCCAGGCATCAAAACGGGTTATTCCCTGTAACATATTTTGCAATCGCAGGTTAGGGGCTGACCATATTTTCTGGGTCCAGGGACAGAGCAGGAAGATGTGTTCAACCGTTTCCACTTCGCATCGACAAAGACAACAGACAGGGTCGGGTAAGATTTTCCTCTTCCACAGATTCTCTCTTGTAGGAATTGCATTTTGGCATATGCTCCATAAAAAAATCTTCACTTTAGAGTGAGTTTTTAAGTTCCATATGGAAGTCCATAATGCTTTGGGTGGCCAATAAGTTATGGGCCAAATTACTCAACAACACACTAATTCTTCGATGTAGGACTTCTCTAACACAACTCACACGTACATCTCAACAATTGTTGCGAAGCAAGCGATCGAACAGTAAAATTGACAAAACAAGAAAATAAATCGTACACCAAATTTACGTAATTCTGTCATAGTGACCTACATCCACAGGGAGAACAATAACAAATTCCACTATAGATCAAACGATACAACGGAGATTACAACCAAATTCGAGTCACTCAAATACTTTCAGTATTTTCCAAAACCCCAATTATACCCAATAACTCACACAATATTTGGCCCGTAATTCCTCACAAAATGATCTCTCAATCTCACGAAAGAATTATACAAATCTTAAACTCACAAGGTTTAATTGGTTGTGTAATTCACTGCTCGAAGACCCACTACCAAGCACCCAGCACCTATGGATGTCGCACGGAAATTTGGCACCCGCGGCACACCTTGTGAAAACGGCGCTTCAAGGAATCTTCTTGGGACAACAATAGCGCACCCTCTGTTCACGGTGTCACTTACAAAACACGTGCAAGCTCAACTCTCCGAAACAAGCCCTTAAACAAATAAATATTGTATGGCACCGCCAAGGGAATCTGACTCCAATTCGTCAAATAGGAAATTGCCATATCCAAGACAAAGTCAAAGTCTTGAGTGCAACTGCAACGCTCATTAGGAAAGTCAATTTCCTTTTTTTTTGTCGTTTTCTTATTTTGCTTGAAATCCTCATCTCGGGTCAGGTTTCATTCGTAGGCTCAAATTTGAAATATATTTTAACACTCAGGATGATGCACATGCGCTTAAGCCAGCGACTCGTAAATATCAAATGAAGACTCGAAAATTTTTAAGTATAAATACGGAGCGCCTCCGTTTCCAACCCATTTTCTGAAAAGGTCTAGCTTTCTTGGCTCTCTCTTACACTTTGCACACCCAAAATACAAAATCTTTCGTCATTCACGAACATGAGGGACTTGCAAAGACGCCAACAGGGAGCGGGGAACAAAACCCTCCCTGAGGCCACCGCGCTCACGAAGAATCTGCGCACTCCGCAGGCAAATCTGGCTAAGATCAAACTTCTCGTGTGCCTCATAGCCATTTTACTAATCTTGCTCAACATCTTCGGCTCGTCAAGGTGTCGGCACAACAACTGGAAGCTCAGGATCCCGTTATGGGCAGCATACACCCTCTCGAGCTACCTGATCGCATACACGCTCGGTCTCATAACCGAAGCGTCGTTCCGAAACGAGATGCTACCAGTTTGGGCCATTTTCTTGATGATCTTCTTTGGGAGCTCAGACTCCTACTCCGTCCACAGCCTTGAGGACTGCGAGCGGTGGAAGAACTATGGTTGGCAATATGTGATCAAGTTCACCGGGGTAATCATTTTGTTGTTCATGTATGGGATCACGTCGTGGATGATTTCGGTGCTATTTATTCTAGGCCTAACGGTGCCGCTCAAGTTCAGTAATAGAGCAGCATCTCTCCTTAGTGCGAGTGGGTATGGCCGACAGATGACCACCAAATTGATCGCTGACTACATGAGCTCTGAGCACCAGTCGTCAAAGGGCGATCTCGACCCTTGCCAGATGAGAGGATACAACTATGTTGTGAAAGTGGGAAAGACAAGTTCAACGCCATTAAAGAAGTTGAAAGAAAGAGAAGCTGCAGCACAATGGGATGCGCCGAACTACCGTGAGTCATTGAAAATCACTGACAGAGTTGTCACCATCGAGAAGGTGTGGAAATGCGATGGATGGCTTTTGAGATCGGACGGTGGGGACAAAGACAGCAAGCTCAAGGATATTTGCCTCTCGTTTTCGCTCTATAAGCTTCTTTGTTTAAGATTTGGCGGCCATTCATTGCCCAAACAAGCTCATGAAAAGCTGTGGAAGTTGATTCAGCACTTGTATGCCGGAGGAAAAGGCTACGAGCGAGCATTTAGGGTCGTTGAGCTAGAGCTTTCCTTTCTTTTCGATTCTTTCTACACCAAATACCCGATCATCTTCATGCCAACCGGTTGGACAATAAAGGTTATAGAGCTCTTACTTATGGTCACTGGTTCTCTGCTGACGATTGGACTTTGTTTCCAGTACAACTCAAATAGACATAAAGATGAACTTCAACTGGCTACTCGAGGCGGGTGGAGCATCGACGTTCTCGTGACGGCACTAATTCTAATAGTATTTACATGTGGGGAGCTTGTGCAGTTTTTCTTCATGGCCATCTCGGAGTGGGCAAAAGTGTCATTGCTATGCAATTATGTACAAAATCCCTCGTGGCACAAGAACAAACGGATCGAGAAGGTGATAGGACTAATATGCCGGACGCAGTTACTGAAGCCTTGGGAAAGGAAACTTCGCCAATACTCGCTTCTCGAGTCGTATGATTACAACCCTCCGAGGTGGCTATACAATTCCTTCACAGTTATGTTTATTGATCTTATAAGGGACGGTCAAAAACACAGCGCCCCCGCCAATCTGTCCTCGGAAGTGAAAAAAGCCGTTGTCCGTTCTTTAATGTCGAATCCCGAGACACTGAAGAATGGAGAAGCTTCTTTGAGACGAAACAATGTGGCAGATAAGTTTGCGTGGGCATGTAGGCTCGAGATGCAAACTCAAGTGATAATTGTGTGGCACATCGCCACAAGTATTTTCGAGCACTCGGTGCCGATATCATATTTGATTTCAGATCCGGACTACCTTACGGCGACCAGCTTATCCAAATATCTCGCTTACTTGGTAACGTTCTATTCGAACTTATTACCTGATCACCCTCACAATTCAGAGTATGCTTTCAATGAAATCATTATCGAAACAAGATGCTTGCTCAAAGCCTGCAAGACAAGAGAAGAAAGAATCCGAACATTGAACAGGATCAGTAATACAATGGATAATAACGGTAGAGTGATAATGCAGGGCGCGTAGTTAGGGCAGGAATTGCTGAAAGAAGAAAGAGGTCGGCAGTTTATTTGGAAGGTATTGGCCGAGTTTTGGGCGGAACTTATGGTGTATGTGGCTCCATCGAACAATGCGAAAGCACACGCGGAGCACTTGAAGATGGGTGGGGAGTTCGTGACTCACTTGTGGGCTTTGGTCTCTCATGCCGGCATCGAGCGAGAACATCGTGTTGAGCGACCTACTCTCAACAGAAGCTAAAGCTGGACCAGTTGATTGTGTTATTGCACGTGGACGGGACCCATAGTGTGTGTCCTTTGGGATTAGTCAAGACAAAAGTTCGGATACTCTGTTATAAAAAAAAATTAAGTAAAAAGAAGCAAGTGGCTAGTGTAATATTTGAGTGGATTTACTATGTACAAGTCTATAAATAAGAGGGTCCATGCTTTATGTGACTGAGATTGGATTGGTCGCTACATATGTTTCATTTGAGTGTGATGAAAACTTTTTATCTATCTCTCCTGCTCGTTCGATGTCATACTTCTTAAGCTATATCTTTTGTAAGGATATGTCCGAATTAAAAGCTATGTCTTTGGGAGGTTTATTTCTCTAAATAAATTGCAATCTATATGCACACTTTAACCCAACATGTCCACGACGACATCGCGGCGAACTTCTTCCAAAATGTTACAATTTCCTCTAGTGTTAATTTGCTACTTTTGGTTACTCAAAAAGATGGCTCTATACTTCTTGCTTATAGTCTTGCCGACGTCGACCAATGAAATAAGTCGAAGAACAGAGCATAAGAAAAGTATCTCAGGTTCTACATTACATATTCGCCATTCTCTAACTTAACTTCATAAAATGTCCCGTACACATAATGAAACATAATCACAAATGATCGGGCACACGATATAAAGTACCTACAAAATCCTAAAATGTATGTCTGTTGACACCTGTATTTATACTGACAAGCCAAGCGGGCATTTTTGCAAAAATTAAAGTAAATAGTAAATAATAGAAAAAGGAAAAAAAATAAAATATTAGTAAATCAAATAAATAAGTAAATAAAGAGAGAAAGAGCCAACTCAATTATGCCCTTAGCCCATCAATCACTTTGGTATAAATAGAGCTAATTCAACTCGGCCCAAAGATCGATCTCTCAGGTCGCCCAACCCATTTTAATTGACCCACCTCAGCCCATTAAACGAGGAATGTGCGTGTGGGAGGGAATGATGAACAAAACAAAATCAGTGCACGCGGTCGATGATGCCTTGGCTCTCTCTTGAGTAGAACCAACATCGACACGTAATACGACATAACGTGCCATTCTAAAAAACTAGAGAATTCCGACACGTTGTAACACATTGTATATGAAATGTATATTTTTATATATAGATGATAAATTATCATTTTTATGATTATTTCAATTAAATTAATTTGATTCAAATCCAAAAATAAATAATAATAATAATAATAATAATAATAATAATAATAAAAAGAGCTTAGAATGAATTTATACTAAAAACATTAATCCACCATTTTAATTTTGGGGCTGGCTGGGTATATTAATTTTGGGGTGTCTGGATATATGACTTAAGTATATACATTTTTGAAAGATTTACATTTTGACCCCTAATTTATTGAAAATGTTTAAAATAATAGTGTGTCGGGAAGCTGGACTAGCGTGTAGCTGGCATGTCTGGAGCGCTGACCATGTGTCAAATGTCTGACACCTATTGACCATGAGTTGCTCGCGTGTCCGACATGTCCGACACTGATGCGGAGGTTTCCAAAAAGTAGGGGTGAGCAGTTCTAGATTTCATACATGTTCCACCTGAAAATCTAGAACCTACCTATAGAAATAGGTTCCTCATTTTTTGGAACCTGGAAGCTACCCTATATATCTTGAAACCTGAAACCTATCCTATCACAAGTTTTAGGGTTGGTTCCAAGGTCTACATAGGTTCCACTTATATTATTAATTGAATAATTACAGTAAATCATCATCTTTGATGACCACCACTTGTTGCTACGATTCACTGATCATAACTTATTTTTAGACACACGAAAAATATCAAATAATAACTAGTCATAAAATGAAAGCTCATACTAGTGGTTCCAGGTTATACACTTGTTATCTAATGCAATGGAACACCGCAGGATCACATGAAGATATAGGTAAAATAAAAAACAAGAAAAACTTGTTTAAGGTTTTAGGTTCCAAGTTCTAGGTTCCACCTATCTAGAACCTGGAACCTACCTATCAAAATAGGTTCCCCAATTTTTGAAACCTAAGACCTATCTTGCATATCTTAGAACTTAAAACCTGTAGGTTCCCACTTATTAGGTTTCTAAGTTTTAAGTTCTATCTTGGAACCACTTCACCCCTACCGAAAAGTGTCCATCCTTCCTAGGCACTCTCTAGTTTCTCTCTCCACAACAACCTTAGATTCTCCTATAAAAGGAAATTTTACTCTACACCAAGGGGAGGACATTAGACGCATCACAGAGCACCATTTCTAAAAATACGTCACGAGTAGAATACCAATAACATCCGAGAGTAGAGAGACACTCACAAAAATCGATCCACAGCTTTTTCCAATTGTCCCGTCGTTGCCATCCTCAAATTCGAAAGAGCACTGAACACGCTCTATTCTCTCCTGCTTCATGGCGGAGAATCTTGAAGTAATTAAGGCTCTGTTTATTTTGCAAAAAATGAATAATTTAAAAAACATTTTCCAAAAAATGATGGCTTGTATCATTTGAAATAATTAGTTAATGAAAAATATTTTAATCACCGACAATAATTTATATCTAAACATTTTTGTGGATGATGGAAATACTTTTTGTCAATTCATTTTGGAAGCGATACAAGTGATTATATTTAGGAAAATATTTTTCAAATTATTCATTTTTCGTGAAACAAACGCACCCTAAATGTCGCTTGAGAATCCCTCACTAGCCTTGATTTCATTAGTTGACATCCGTAAGAGCTTTAATGGTTAATTCAAGTGTTCTTCACAGCTTTAGTACCACCGATAAACCAGGTAATCTTCTTGCTCTGTAATTGCCCTGTTTTGATGAGAATAAGAACCAATATATCATGTTTTAGGCTAGTATAGAATCTGCTCCATTTGAATTGGGGTAAGTGATTACGTACATCATGCACTGTTTTCGTAATTAAGTCACGCGAGCTCCATCCAACACCATGCATCTCCTTGGGTAGTTAACTCGTCGCCAATATTGCTGGTATCGCCTATGAGGCAGAATTGCACCTCGGGAGTGTCTACCTTATCACCAAGGCAACCGCATTGCCCATGAGGTGGGAATTGTACTTTGAGACTATTTGTTGGGCCTTATTGGTAGTTTGGGCTTGGGTCCATGAATAACTACTTTACCTATATATATTCCATTTCTCTTGTAATTGAGGGACATAATAGAGAAATACGAATTACTAATTATAGTGGAATCCTCTACTAGACATAGTCCTAGTTAAGGGCAATACATGCGTGGGCGAGTGATTCCGGAAATGGGGACTTTTCTAGGTAATGTGTATGGATGGATGGGTATGTGTGGGATGGCTGTCGATGGGTAAATTGCAAAATACAGGATTGAATACGATTACCACCAAGGTATAAATAATGCACCACCAACTAGGGATGAGGATTGAGATGGATGAAGTTCGCCACCAAAGCTTAAAGGATAAGCCACTCGACACAGATACATGACTTCAGGATAGGAGAAGCTCACCATAAGGCCTAAAGGAAAACCACTAGTCGAGGATAAACCACTTCTTGGTTCACCACTAAGGAGTAATTCACTCTCTAAGGATAAAGAAACTAGAATAGGAGTAATCCATTCTCCAAAATATTCACTCACACAGATGAAAATCTCATTTATTTTCATTCATCAAAGTCTTGTCTGCGTTTCAATAGAGAACTATCCTCTTTTTAGGGAAAATGACACAAACAATTCCTGAACTTTGGATCAATGTGCAATTTGGTCAATGAACTTTTAATTTGTTTAAAGTCGTCCCTGGTACATGTTCAATTTAGTCCTTGAACTATATGAAAATGTTCAATATAGTCCTTCCATTAATTTAAATTCAGGAATTACATTGAATATTTTCATGTAGTTCATAGACTAAATTGAACATGTACCAGAAGTATAGGGACTATATTGAATAAATTAAAAATTCAAGGACCACATTGAATATTAGGCTAAAGTTTAGGGACTACATTGAATAAATTAAAAGTTTAATAACCAAATTGCATATTGGGCCAAAGTTCAGGAATTGTTTGTGTCATTATCCCCTTTTTATATAGAGGGACTAAGACATAGGAAATCACCAAACATGAAAGAGACATGGGAACTACTCAAATATTTAAGGACTTGAGAACTATAAAGGAATTAAAGTTCGAGAAACTTGGAAAATGTATAGAAACTTGTAATCTTGACTTTTTAGCTTTTGCGGATCACCTTCCAACATTTGTCCATCAACTTTGACCAAAGGATAATTATCTCAATAAATAAGCAAATGTCATAGGATTTTGCTTAAATCAACCTTCCATCAATATGTTATCGATCTGCATCGAAATCAACAACTAATATTGGTGAAACGATATTGAATTGGCTAAGTCAATAATTGACAATAACTTGGTAGTTAATTAGCATCTTCATACTGGATTCATCGAAGCAAGTTGTGAACAAAATTAGCTTTGGCTAGGATGAACATCGATTGTGCTGGGCTCGTTGATGGAATCAAGTTGGAACTTAAGGAAGATTCCATAGAATTGGATGCTCCCACATCAAAGGGTGAATTGAGATAAAAACTTTGTGTCTCGATTTTTTTTTTTGCTTTTACTCTCTATTTCTTTATGATTGTGTGTTGAATCCTAACACTATCTAACTCTTCACCATTGCGGTCGCATCGCCTCATGAGGCGTGAATTAGCACTAAAATTACCAAGAGCCACCCTACATCAGCTTAATATGTAATAGGAAGATCATGAGAGGAGCTTGTAAGCCTCCCACATCAAATGATGTGAGCCCGCTTCACACATAACTTGAATTCATTCATTCATTTCTTCGATGAGAGCATTCGCCCCTAGCCCCCCACGTCTAAACTGAAGCGAAAGATTCTGTTTAAGAAGTAGAGATAATAATTTCTCTCAAGGAGTGCATATAATGCAGGCTTACATAGTTAATCTCCATTAATAAACGACAAAAAAGCAATAGATCATCCGTTAATAAGAAAACTGGAGTGTGATAAATGTTGTATAATAAGATATAATCCAAAAGAAAAAAATGATGGCATTCCAAGTATGGTCCAACAAAAAATGCCAACAATTTTTGTTTTCCACTTCAGGCAACTTTGGTTCAGCTTCAGTCAAGAAGTATTGGTGTTAGAAGAAAATGGGGCTCTAGTTCAACAAAAAGCCCAAAGTGATGAGTACAAATTCACATAGAATCTTTATTGAAAAAAGTTCATGTCAGTGCCGGCCATTCTACATAGTATGGCCAACGTCTATGTTAGCGATTTCTGATCACAATTAGCTAAATGGACTCAATTGGCACAAATGTAAAATGTTTTAAGACTCAATTGGCAAAAAGAAATTGTTTAGAACTGAATTAACACGATTGCAATATGTTTATGACTTTTTGGGTAATTTTCTCAAACCTGACCATACGTTGTTAGTATATGGTCAAGGACACCATATACAATACCCAACAAATCCTAAAATGAACCTCTCTCTCTCTCTCTCTCTCTCTCTCTCTCTCTCTCTCTCTCTCTCTCTCTCTCTCTCTCTCTCTCTCTCTCTCTCTCTCTCTCTCCCTCTCTCTCTAATACCATATGTTGAGTCCCACTGATCATGCACATTTTCTCCAACCATGTAGTTTACATTCTCCTACCATTACACATCTAATTGAGTTCGAGCATAGTCTGCATCGATACATCTACTCTAAATTCTCATTATACCAAATTGACTTGGAACACTGCCAATATGTCCCCTTCTTTCCACATTCCATATTCTCTAGTCCTTACATTCCATCTCGGCTCGAGTATCAGTACTACGCAGCTCCACTTCTGCTTGTTATGACTGAAATGACATGGATGTTTAGCTATTAAGATGCTTTGTTGATAGGACCAGTTGGCAGTGGTCCTCACAATATTCATGTTGAACATTTCTAGAGCAATGAGTTGTGCGGATTTTGGTGGAAATGTAGTCTTACCAAAAATTATCTAGGCGCGAATGTTTGAAAAGATAGTTTGACGATGGTATTATCATCTTCCCAATTGATACCAATTAGACAAAACAATTGCATTGGGCACGTACGGATAGGAAACTTGCAAGTGAAAAACAAGGGGAGAATTATCCAAAAAAATCCCAAATCTATTATACAGTCACTAATTCAGTTTTAAACTTTCTAATTTGATCAAAGTAGTCCTAAACATTTTGACGGTTTTCCCATATAGTTATTTAGGCTAATTTGTGCTGGAAATCGCTGGCATGGCGGCCTAGTCAGTGCCAGCTATCCTACGTGATGTGACTAGCAATCTGCCATGTATGACGGGGCTCAAAACGACATTGTTTTGAGAAATTTTTAATTTTTTAATTTCTCATTTTCTTTCTTTTTCTTTTTTATCTTCATCTTCTTGAATTTTCGATCGTCAAGGTTGATAGGCCTTCTTGATGGCCGGCGAGGGTCACGCCTAGATTTATGCGAGGACAAGGACAGTTTGGGGCAAGCAAAAATACTATCAAGCCCCGAACAACCGGTGGAGAACAAAGAAAGGGAAAGGAAAGGAAAGGAAAAATTGCAAAACTACATTGTTTTGACCCGTGTCGAACATGTATGATAGCCAGTCGACATTGACGGACCGCCACGTTGTTGAATTCTAGCCTAAATTAGGCAGAAAGATTACATTATAAAATCGTAAAAAGATTCAGGATTACATTGACCAAATTAAAAAGTTTACGACAGAATTGATGGCTGTAAAATATGTTTAGGACCTTTTGGATAATTTTTCCGAAAAACAGTTTGCATTAGATAAAAGAGTTTTTGCACCCCTTAATTACCATCATTGTGTCGTAACTAACTTCTATAAAATAAATTACTACTCTTTTTTCTTTTCCCTATTCGAATTTTCCCAAAAAACTGAAATCCTTTTGCAAAAACGCTAGATTTTCATTCAATAATTGGATCTGAACCTAAAAGTGATGATTAACAAGACGTCTTTTTTTTTCGAATTTTGGCATTTGATATTTTAACAGTCCATTTTCTTCTATATATTCCACTATGTCATGCTTTACTACTTGTCATGAGAGGCGACCAACCAAATTCTTAGAGAATAGTTCCAACTTTTAGGCAAAAAAATCAGCAATGCTTGCCACCAAATGCACCTCCCCACAATAATAAGAAATTAGTCATTTCAGCAGCTGCAAAAAACATATAACAGAAACACGTGTATACTCAAGACAGCGAAAACAACTAATGAAGAGCCACCACTTCCAAAACAAACAATTCAAAGTAAAGATCATGTAACAGAAATCTTAGTCCCATTGTTGTCATAAACTTCTACTGCAAGAAAAACCTAATGATTTTGCTTGGCATTCCACCTAGTGCTTCAGCAATTTGATTTGTTACCAAGAACTTAGTTGCCACCATTGCCAAAAGAACAATAACTCGAAGCCTAAAAAGAAGAGAGTTCAGTTCCCTAGAAGTTGGGAGAGCTTTAAACAAACGGACTACGGGCCCGTTTGGTTCGGCTTTTCAAATGCAACTTGGGGGAGTGCAAATACCTTTAGGTGAAAGCCACTTGGGGAAATACAAGGGGTGTTTGGTAAAAAAAAATTTGCAAAACTACTTTGGCCTAAGTAGTGTTTGGTAAATTTTTTTGCAAAGGGCTTTGGCAATTTTTATTCTTAATATTCCGGTTTTGCCCCTATTACTATTCATCTTCTTCACCGACGAGGGGCCGGCGAGGGCGGATCTAGCCGGCGAAGGCCCAACAGGGGCCGGCGAGGTCGCCTGACCTAGGCGACGGCCGCCCGACCTAGGCAACGGCCGCTGGGGTCGGCGACCGCCCAGCGCCGTCGCCTTGGTCGGCGGTCGCACAGTCGCGCGACCCGGCGCGGCGCTCGCACGGGTCGCGCGACCCAGGGCGACGGTCGCCTATAGGTCGCATACGCCGCTGGTCGCGCGACTCCAGGGCGGCCGCCGACCCAGAGCGATGGGCGCTGGGCGGTCGCAGGCGACCTCAGCGACGGCGCCTAGGCGATCGCCCGACTCCCCAGCGGCCGTCGCGGCCGGATTTGCCCTCACCAGCCCTTCGCCGGCCACGGGAAGAAGATGAACAAAGGATGTGACAAAACCGGAAAATTGAAATTTGAGTGAGGGCAATTTGGGAAGGAAAAATAGGCTTCACATTCCAATGACATTCCAAATGCGGCTTTCGGTTTTCCGAGTCCGGAAAGCAAGACAAATGGTTCAGCATTTTGGGAAGGGGCTTTCGAGGCCGAAAGCCCCTTCCCAAAGCTGAACCAAACGGGGCCTACATCCATCTATCCTACCTAACAACAGTAATCTTTGTGATCAGTGCATTCCGCGTGTTATTAACCAAAAATTACTCACGTTCCTAAGTACTATATTGAAAAAAAAATACACAGGAAATCATTTATTCATGTCACTCTATTTCACATTAAATGTTCTCGTAACTATTCATTACACCCAAAACCAAAATCACCAATATGGTAATAAAACAAGAAGCAAAAAATCATAGAAGGAAACGTGCATAAAGTTATCCTAGCTCAAAATTTTCCAAGGAAACGTGCAGAAATTTGTTCTGTCATAATAATTATTCTAATCACATATGGTCCACGAGATGTAAAAATTAAGTTGGGCATTAGCTGGGTGTAGGTAAGAAAAAGATACTTACCCAACAGGGGAGAGTGAGATGTGCACGCATGGGCACATTAAAATAAAAAACGTATGGGTGGAACCTGCCCGAAAACAGGACCCTAGTGACAATGAACTCTAGGCAATCCCAAACCACGCCCTAGAGGGAGCTTCCCCCAGCTTGGGATTCGGGAGGATACAAAAAGTGAGGCAGAAGCCCACAAGAATCCTTAGACTCAATTTGGAAAGTAAGGAAGTCCTGAGATTGAAGGCAGCTAATGAGGATGAGAAAGTTTAGATTCTTTTCTTTCAAAACACAGTGGCTAAAGGGTGAGTTTGTTTACGAGAAGAAAGGAATGCTTTGATGAAGAAATGCTGAGGAAGGAATAGTGAAAGTGCAGAGAAAGGATGAAATTCTGCTTGATATGCTAAGAGAATAGGACTAAGACCAAATTGAGGGAGAGAGAGAGAGGTACAAACGAAGCGCTAAGAGAGAGCTACGAGACATGTCAGGTACTTCACTTTATCTCTCGTCTCTGTGCTCTATTTTCATTTTGTCTTAACCTAAGTCTGTGTTGTTATTTTAGTAATTCATGCCTTTTGCTTTTCAAATTTTTAAATTTTATTTGGTAGTAATGCTAGAACAGAAATATAAGACCTTTTTACATTCATGACCGTTCATGAGTGTTTAGTATGAGTTCACCTTGCCATGCGCTTTGTCTTGTCTGGTTCAATGGAATGTAATTCCTCAAAAAATAGGATTCCGATTCCAACTATTTTCATGTGTGGAGAAAGATCTAAGCTCGGATTTGGATTCTATGTGAAATACATTTACTCATAAAATGTAAAATCATGTTACCTAGCTAAAGTTAGGATTGGGATATCATTCCACTTTGTTATAAGCATAACACAATGAAAACCCAAGTCCACCGTTGACCGCTGCTAGCGGTCCGTAGCCTCCACCATTAGTTGTCAGCGAAGGTCATTGGCAACTAGACTCCACCATCGGTCAGCGGCGGTGGTTGCAGGCTGCTGGACTCTACCATAGGCCACCAGACTTTGTTGCAGGTAGCCAAACTTTGTCATTAATCCTAAATTGTTGATTGCTAGAATTTGCCATCGGCCGCTGGATAAATTCACAGTCGTGAATGACAAGTATTCTCTCCTTTGTGACCAAATTTTTACAATCCGAACAATTGAAAAGGAAAGAATGATGGAATCCATTTGAGAGTTCCTTGTCATGAAACCAAAGGAGACTTTTTTAGTGAATCTAAGAATTAGGATATAAAATGTGTGCAATTCTCCTATTTAGCCCTCAGGTTACCCCAAGATAAAACTATCAACTTTGAGCTATTTTCGTTCCTTGTTTTCTCTTTATATACATGTGATTTACGGGGTTTATATGCTTTTTATATACATGTGGTCTCCCTTTACCTCATGACTTAAGTATATGGATTAGACTTTCTAACATTATATCAAAGCCAGGTTCTGCCTTAATTTATTTTGCATATACATCCCTCCGATCGTCAAATTACACATGCCGTTTCTGATCTGGTTTGTACGTGAGAGAGGTTATTAAAGTATTCTACATTGCTTGCCTACAATATTTATATGATATTTATATACATGTGACTTTCCTCCACCTATTAGTTGAAGTTTTTGGGTTCTACTTTTTAATGTGAATATAATCACTCATAAAGAAAGTCATAAGAAGCATTAAAGTATACTAAATTATGCCTAGGCCTGCTTTGTATTGGTAAGTCCCTATGAGTACTTCCTATAAAGCTAATGTTAAGACTCATAATTAAAATAACCGATTGAAATAACCTTTATCCCCATTCCAGAATCAATTGTGTTTAAACGGGGTTTGTTTGTTTCGCAGCACCCGCACCGTACAAAAGAGAACTTCGTCCAGCTCATTATATAATGAAGATAGAATCATTTTCCACAGTATCAAAATTGCACAAGTATGAATCCAGGGTTTTTGAAGCTGGGGGCTACAAATGGTCAGTTTTCGAATTTCCTTTTTTTTTAACATATATTCATCTAAGTAAAGATACAACTTCAATGCTTAATCAACTGATAGATACTTAAACGTCTAATTTGCTCTTTTCAGGAGTCTGTCACTTTACCCTAATGGAGACAAGCACACTAAAGGGTCCGGATACATTTCCTTGTACTTGTCCATCGAGGAGACAAGTAATTTTCCTCCCGATTGGAAGGTTCACGTTAACTACAAGCTTTTTGTGCATGATAAGATACGAGATGACTACTTGACCATCCAAGGTTGATCATCACATAATTTAATGAAGTCACAACTCCAATTACATCATCATCGCTTAAAATAACAACAAAGTTATATCAACCTGTGGAATTGGGTGTAGATGCTGATGGGACAGTGAGGACCTTCAATGACAAGAAGACCCAATGGGGGTTTTCTCAGTTTCTTTCCTTAGAAACATTCCAAAAGGATTCAAATGGATACCTTTTGCATGGCTTTTGCGCATTTGGGGCTGAGGTTTTTGTCCTCAATTCTACTGGGAAAGAGGAGTCTCTTACCATAATCAAAGACCCGCCAAACCAGAGATTCACTTGGAAGATGAAAAACTTCTCCAAATTGGACAAGGACCCTCGCTCTTATGCCTTTTCCTTCGGGCAGAGCAAATGGTATATTCCCGGACTAGAAGTTTGCAAAAGCCTTTTACCGTTATTAAAATTTATTTTTGTTGCTTACGTCTGTAAATTGAATTGGCCAAAATCTGTCGTTGTTTAACTGTCATTATCGTGTGTAGGAAGTTATCGGTGTATACCAAAGGCAATGTCCCCACGGAACGGAAGTCGCTGTCCATGAAATTACAAGTGCAAGACCTCCCTCCGAAGAGGAAAGTGTACGCAGAATTCTATCTGCGTGTTCGGAACCAATTTAATGGTAACCATAAGGAGGAAAAAGGTATGTTTTCATTTTTTATCTTTGTAATAGGCATGTTTGAATTAACTTTTACTTTGGTTTTACTTTTCTCACAAAGCGCACACTTTGACCTTATGTTATTCCATAAATCTCAAAACTTTTACAAGGTGCAAATATCGGCACGTAAATTTGCATATAACTTCGCATAATCTTTGAATTTCGAATAGTATTTTTAGTGTTGACGAAAAAATATTTTTTTTCTATTTTACTTTTGCTTAATCCAAAACAAATGGACTAATGCAAATACATATAAGCAATATTATGATCATGAGCATGACCTTAAAAGGCTTAACTGGGAGCAAGCTTGTTCTCGTAAGACTTCTGGATATTCCCCTCACCAGGAAAGAAAAACATGTGGTGAAAACTTGCGGAGGGGGAGGGCCTCAATGAATAGCTTCCCAACATGTAACCAAAGGGTGGTTGGGAGAGGAACCCCCGGGTCATGGTGGGGATGGGCGTGGGGGTGTCCGGCTATCGGGACGTTAAACAAGGCATGAAAACTGTGGAGCTCCCTAGGTGTTTACACCTGGACAGGCCACAATCCCTATCTAGACTCGACCTCCCCAAATACATATAAGCAATACTATTTAAATCACATCAACTTTTTCCAGAGTTTTCATAAAAAGAACATCATTTCTATTTTATGAGAAAACTTCAAGTGGCTTTTTGGAAAGGCTCAAAGCCCATCTATATGACTTCTCAACTTGTAAATCTCTCTCTATCTCTCTTCATGAGTCCAAACTGAGTATGAGTATACTAATTGGTGACATGGCTTCATCTACATTATTAAAAATAATTGCAGCTAGTCACTGGCTAAGCGCCTCATCTCCAAAGGTTTACGATGACTTTATGCCCATGGAGGATCTCCAAAAACGGGACAACGTGTTTGTTAAAAACGATGTTCTGATCGTTGAAGTCCAATTCCTTGTCATTTCCGCTGTCAAAGCTTAGGGACTCTGATGACTTACTATCGAATCAGAATTAAATAGTATGTAGCCATCAAATTGGCATTGACATTGGTGCCTCGACATATTGATTCCTCCTAATTTGGTATCTTATTTGATCACTTGATGGAGTGTTTAATTATTAAATTTCAAATTTTTTAATCGTGTGGTTGATCTGAGCCTTAGGAAGCCTGCCTTTGGGATTCCTTAACGTCTTGTTGGATACCCCTGGATAAACACTCTGATGCCCAGGTCAATATGGCATGGAAGAAAAAAAGAAAATTTGAATATGAGTGTGATGCGGGCAAAGTCCCACGTCGGGCAACTAAGGAGATATCCTGAGACTTATAATGGGTTGGGTTCTCTTTCCTAACAAGTTGGCTTTTCGAGATGAGTTTTTTCACCCATTGTAACGCATCACAGTACTAATTACTCAATATGTTTATGGCTTACCAGTCCTCTAGCCAAGAGAGGGACTGGTCCTGGTAGTAGCTCATGCTAATGCCTGGTCCGTGAGGGTTAATTCGAGTCGAGTCAGACAACTTGATGGGGCAATCTTGTCGGTGACCATGGATGCTCTGCGGATGGGTCCTTTGGCACTTCATCTTGTTCCGGTCACTAGGGCCTTCTTCTAGTGGGCATTTCCTCACAGAATCAACAAAATTCATTGTACTAATACAGCCAATGGAGCATTCTTCGTACCAATTCGAGCATAGATGGCAAGTGTTTGAGCCTAGTTCATACTTATAATGAGTGATCATTGAGATGTGTAATCTTTATATGTTAGCAGGAAGCAATTTTTAATATGTACCTCACGTGGAAAAATAACTACATTGATCAACTCTCAATCTATAGAAGACCGTACTGAATACAAATCCTACATAAACTCTAAGCCAGTGGGTTCTGTCAATTAGATAGATTAATTGCTCAATTTCAGTCCAAACAGATAATGGGGGCATTGCCCCCATTGTGCCTTTTACAATCTTCTAGAACGTAGAGATATCATATCGGAATTTAATCGACGATGCGAATCTAATAGCTATAACTAGGAAAGTAAACTGCAGTACATGAGAGTAAAATTACTGAAAGATAATAAATTTGTTTGATTTGCGGGCGGTATTCATAATGGTTTTGCCATAACTTCTTCTCGACGGTTCTCGGTAGTTGTATCATTTATGGGCAGTTTTCTTTAGTCGTCTCAATGTTTTCTTGTTCTTTGGCATTCTCCACCCACTATCTCGTGATTGTCTTTCTTGAATGGTTATCTTCCTAAATGCCTCCACAATTTTGTTTTGGTGGTCATTGGTGATTGCCTCTCGATAACTATCTCACGATTGTATTGCTCTGCAGCTCTATCGTTCAAATCACATGGTCGAATATTCAAATGGCAACTGTTTCCTCCAAAAACATGCATCCACTCCTTCGTAATTTCAACTGCCTCGCAAGCGTGCCTCTATATTCCTCTATTGATGGCTTCATTACTTTCTGATTGCTTTTCTTTAAACTATTAACCATATAACTATGCTCCTTGTGTCTCTAAAAATCTTCAAACAGCATCTTGCCATTTGCTCGTTGCCAATATCCACATCACCATGTGTCAATAACTGAGAAGATATCACTAAGGTGCATCATCGTCGTTTGATCAGACGTCATCCTCTACGGTTATCAATAAAACACCATGCACATATATCCTGTGTAACCATTCATGCTCACGTGCTAGGCACACGTTTATTGATGACCCAATCATATTTAGGTGTAAACAGTAACATTCATGCCCACGTGCCAAGCACGTATTTATCGATAACCCGATCATATCTAGGTGTAAATAGTAATCAACTAAAATTCTTGCCTAATTTCGTATACAACTTTGACTCCATTTTCCTGATTCACTCACAAGACAAGTCATCCATATCGAGATTAAAACATTCACACATATGAATTACTTTTTCATGTTCAGGCTCAAAAGGATGCATCAATTGAAAATCGAAACTAAAACCTCGCGCTTCTCGAGGTGCAAGTTCTCTAAGTGATTTTACCCATGATGGACCAATAAATAAGAACCAAAAGATCGAAATCCTCGATTGCTTGATTCAGATATAAAAGGCCGGTTATTCATGTCGAGAATAGTAGTTAAAGAACATAAGGGTTGACTTTGGAACCAAAAGTTTCGTTCGATGGGGACATTGTAGGAGTGATCGGTTCCCGATCCGGTCCTGTTCCAAGGTGGAACAAGGAACCGGACTAGGAGAACCGGTTCCCACAATTGGGAACTAGGGATCGGACCGGTGGTTCGGTCTGGTTCTAATCCGGTCTAATGGAACCGGTTATTTTTTTTTCCCACTACTTGATTCTATATATTTTGAAATTAGAATTGTGTTCCCCATGCTAGCTATACAAAATCACAAGAACAAGTGTGCAATTCGAGCCAATTTGATAACGAATTGTGTTCCCCATGTGGACTACACATATGTTCTAAAATTGGAATTGCATTCCTCATGCCGATTAAATATAATCACAAAAAAAATTATATGTGTAGTCAATCCGGTTTGGTCAGTCCAGTTCTCCTTGGAACTGAAAACCGGACCAATCGGCCGGTCTGGTCCGGGCGGTACTCGGTTTGGGCCATCCGTTTTGCACACCCTAAGATATAGTGTGAAATAATTTAGGCAGGATAAGAAAAATTCAGTCTTTTCACTTACGTTACTTGACTGCCGCATCGGTCAGTTTGTGGGTAAAAACATTACCCTGTGCTTGTCGATAGGATAGTTTTGATGCAATCTTGCCGATTGATAGACCTGAAAATTCAAAAAATTTATGTAATACGATAAAGTTTAAAATAAGAGGGTAGCCTCATAATATTCTTTCTAATAAAAAAGTATGTGTTGAATATCTCCTGATGAGGGCTTCCATATGTTATTCTTTTCAAATAATTACAAATGTGTAGATAGTTGAATCAAGATTTATCATTGACACTGACAAGATACATAGATTCAGTTGTTATAAGAACAATGTTATAGATCCATATGTCTTTTGACATGGGATTGAAACTGTATTTTAATAGATTTCTTGAAAAATGACTACATTGATTTATTGAGATGAGACTAGGCAATGGCCAACGGGTTTAGGATAAAATACGAAATAAGAGAAAAAAAAAAAAAGAATGGTTCTTCAATCTGTTTCTATGGTGGGCCTTAAATTTCGGTTGCGTTTGTTTCGGTCAAAAAAGTTTTTAGCCTAAACCGTTTTTCAAAATTCCGGCTGTTTTGCTACTTGGAAAATGATGAAGTCAATGGAAAAGCATTTCGGTCAAGGAAAATACCACTGCCTGAAAATAGGAAACACTCAGACGAGAATGGTGTCCCTGTCTTTCTCTCTAAACCAGAATCCGCTAACAGGTTCTCATGTTCACCTTTGAGTATACCAGACTTGCCTTTGTTTGTATACACTAGCGTGTACATGTTTTTTTTCTTGTAGCTAATTTTTTTTTCACCCATTAACCTTTCTTAACACTTTTGCGACCGTCGTATGAGAAATCAGGTAATGTAGAGATCTCTCCAAAATTTAAGAGCATGCCGACCAACAATCGATGAGTGTGGTATGTTATGATTAGTTGCACAAACACAATAAAATAGAGAGTAAATGCGAGGAAGAAAAATTATGACACAAGGTTTAATCCCGATTCACCTTTAAACTAGGGCTACATCCAACAGAAGATTCTCCTATGTTTAGCACCTTCCACCTCTTTGTCACATCCTTCAATTACATGAGAAATAAATTTTATATACTCAATAGCTATTTATGGGCTCAACACGAACTTGTTATCCCCGTGCTTTCCTATTGATGAGGAGTATGAACCACACCCTAATATGAACTTGTTTTCATGTGACTGCATGCCAACCCTGGCATTTTCTCTTTATTTTTTTTCTTGCTCTCTATGTATATTAGAATGTATATATATAAAAAATCACGATTTCATCTAACAGCTTAAATTTTTAGAACAGTTGGTAGTGGTTCCATAAAATCTCACAAGATATCAAAGTAGGAGATCATGAATTCAAATCTACTAGACTCCTTATTTGCCTTAGGCTCAGGCTCCTCCTCCTTCCTTTTTGGTTGGCCCGCCCTAATTCCCTCGTGAATGGTCTGATGATGCCCAATCAGATCCTTGACTATCGGCCCCAAAACCCTCCCTCTTTCTTCTATTTGCTTTGGTCCTTCCCCATTGGACTTTCTCGGCTGGCACCTCCCCCATTTGTTTCCCCATTTTCATTCTTTTGGGCTGCACGAGATTCCTCTTCCACTTCAATTTTCCTTTTTCCTCGACTTAATTCCCATAATGTAGAATAGTCTCGTAAGTTAAATTTTCAACTTGGTCCAGGTTCAAGAAAGGCTAAATGAGGAAGGGAATGGACATAATATGGCACGGGGATCATGCCCCAAATGACATGATCTCATGCATGCATCCATGGGTACACGAGTGAGGGAGACAGAGACGACGCGCCTAGACCTATCTTTACTTGGCCATGAGTCGAGCCGAAAGGGAGTGGCAGTCCCTGACTAACCTTTTCGGGTTTTCGAATGGGCCTTGGCTAGGTCCTATCTTGGTCAACTGGTTCTTGGCTAGTTTAATTAGGACCAGGGAGGGAATGATGCTAGAAAGGTTCAATTTCCTTATGAATTAAGGGATTCGAGAGCTCCGACAACTTCGTCAACAATTGTTCTCGTTACAGGATCAATGATCTTGCATCTACAATGCCTCTAATTGCTAAATGTAAGAAAATGCAACGAGAAATTTTAATATGGGAATATGTAGTGTAAATTCCATGATCCAAGACAAATATACAATGTAAATGTCTTTTGTTAGGAATTTTTTTTTTTTGGTCAGACCTTTTGTTGCGACCCTCCCGAAAGTGCACCATCTAGGGGTTGGCTAGTGGATTACTAAGCCTAAACCTAGCTCGGGCTCTCCTAAATCCATACCAATTCACAACTTTAGGTTCAAGTTATGATTTTTATCTAGGAGTCGCCACTAATCTATTTCATGATGAGTCGATTAGAAACCTAAGTAAAGAATTGGTAAATTACTTTAGTCCTACGAACCAGAGATTATAAATTCGGGGACTTGA